ATATATAGCTACACTACTGGACGATAATTTTACATTTAGAATTATTTTGCAAAATTTTAGATGTATCCTTTCAATGTCTTCGTTTTTAGTAAATCCCCAAACTTCAGAAGAGTAACTTAAATTGAGGAAACAAATGAATCAAATAAACTCAACGTTGTCTTTTAGGTAAAATCAAAGTCCTTAGTATTATTCATTAAACAGTTCATAGCTTTAAGCGCCTTGCCGACGAGCATCTGTGTATTATATTTAAAATTGCCATTTGAGTCAAACACCACACCTAGATAGTTGAAAGTGTTAACAATAGCTAAATTTGTGTCATTGTAAGTCCATTTTTCATTTTCACGCAACGGTCCACGCTTTCTAAAAACCATAAGTTTGTTTTTTTCAATGTTAACAGTTAATCCCCATCTCCTACAGTATGTGAGCAAGTCATCTAAACTTTGTTGTAATCCTTCTACGTACAGTGTCCGAAAATAGTACCATATCGTCTGCGTATAAAAATATGGAGGGCGATCGTTGCCAAAATTCCAGACATGTATTGTGTTCCTTTTGAAAACTACTTTTGAAAATGCGAACACGTATGTCTAGCTTTTTTGATTGTTATCGTGCACAGCAAATGATATGCCTCTTAATGCAATCTTTTAATTGAAGGCAACCGCTTTTAAATAACAAGTTTACATGTAAATCTTAACAACTGACCTAACATGGAGAACAACAACAACATTGCATACAATACACACTTGTAGATAACTATCTGTACCTGAAAAATACACATGAAATGTAAAACTCGAATACAGAAAATATAATTTAATAAAACGTGTTTCGAGTCGTAGAACTACAACAGTACGTTTACACAATAACATGTTTAAAATGACAAAAGTAGATTCACAAAGTTAAACGATTTTAAGTCATGCATGACGCCCCGCCCCTCTCTGAGTATTTACGATCTTCTATTACGGAAATGTACGGACAGGTAAAATACCCGTTGCCTCTCTAAAGTGAAGGAAAACACGGCGTCCATTCTAACTTTGTTTTTTATTTCTATAAAAAGTCAAATATTTTTGGTATCAAATGAAAGATTACTCCATAAGGTTTCTATGAGTGCCTCGGAAATAAAAATGAATTAAATAGATTTATTGAAATTTTTGTTTCAAAATTTATCATTTTCCCTCTGAAAATAACAATCTCGAATTGGTAAGAAAAACACGGCGTTCCCTCCAACCTTTTTTTTTTATTTCGTAATCAATTTTTATAATTTTGGATTTAAATAAAAGTGTGCTTCATACGCTTTATGATATATGATTATATAATGCCTAAAAATAAAAATGAATTAAATCAAAATGAATTAACTTTTCGTTTAAAAGTTTATCATGTTACTTTCTGTAAAATAGAGAAAATAAGAATCCCTAAAGAACGCTCAAAACGACAAAATTGAGAAACATGGCACCCCCTACTTACTTTTTTTCATTTCTTGGTCAGTTAGCCCCTAGTTTTTATTTATCCCCCCTCCCCGGTTCTCACGCCCCCTTCCCCTGTGCCCTTTGACTTTATGGGCCTATTTTTCAGTCATTTAATTGTTTTCTTTTAGTTCCTTATCAGTTTCTAATTATTTAGTCTTTGGTAGTGGTTTGCCTGCCCGTGCTCTGCCTTATGCCCTTCCCTGTTTTTGTTTAGGGTCCTCTTGGGCTCCTTGCCACTGGTTTTTATTACTGGGTCGGGTGGGGGCTGCGTTCATTGAACGCCGCCTTTCCTTGATGATCATGTTTATCATATTTGATAATTTTAGACTCAAGTAAAAGAATCCTTTATGAACTTTCTAGTGATGCCTTAAAAATGAAAATTAATTACGTAGAAGTATTAAAAATTTTGTTGCAAACTTATTGTTGTTTATTTTTTCTCTCTTAAAACCACACTCATATATTCGGGAAAAAATCACATCGCTTCCTTTAGATACTTTATTCAAATCAAAGCACTGAAAGCACTGTAGGGTCGCTTGCGCTGACAAATTTATATGACATTTTATCGCATAAACCGCGGCGCAGGAGTGTAATAAAGCCATCTAAAAAAACGATATTACACTAGACGATATTACACTAGTGTAATAACACTTTGACGTCACGTTATTTGCGCTATAAACATGGCGTTAAAGCGCGCTAATGTGAGCGTAAAACTAAAGGTGCGTCAAAAAAACTCTTGATAACAGTTTACCGTTCTTATTTCATTCATGTGATAAATAGAATATCATATTCGTGTAGATTTAATACTAAATTTATAGAACTCGTTGAATAAAATAATATTATGCTCGCCAGAGGCTCGCATAGTATTATTGTAACCAAACTTAGTCTCTTCTCCTTAGGTAGCATTGGAGAGGTAAGTCTGGCTAACAAAGTCCTGCATGAAAGTAACATTCAGCAGGCCCGAAATAAACACATACGAATACAGTTTCTACTTCTACTTATTTATTTTTCATTTATTCATTTATTCGCAAACACACAAACATATTAAACGTTGTTACACTCAAACTTAACATTATTCAAATATTTACATTAAAAACAATACTTCTGATGAATTATACTGAAATACTGAAATACTGAAATATTTTCTTTTCCACATTTCTATATTTCTTCCTAATCTCCATCCTTATCTAATCTCAAACTCATCTCCCAATCAAAATCCATCTAATCCAAAACTCAATCTAAAATCTTTTTCCTTTCTGAGAATAAACCTACTATTTATACTAAAACATAACCCGAAAAGTTCAGGTATACCTGAAGAAATGATAAGTATACTGAAATTGACTAATGTTAAATTATATTAAATGATATTGCATAAGTAACCCGACAGAAAGTGAGTATGACCTGAAAATGTCATATATTCATTTAGAGTACCTGAAAAGATCTGGGGGCCGTTTTATCAACGTGTCGTAGTCTACGACAATTTTTTGTCGGTGTCATACGTCTGCGACAATGTCGTACGACCGTTTTATGAAACGTGTCGCAGACGTTGTGTTTCTGCGACGTCGCAGCCTTTGTCGTAGACAAAATTTACGCGAGACACAGTCTAGCCAGTGCGCGCTTTGACGTCACATATGAAATCAAAGTACTAAAAGTATTGATGTTACATGACTATTATCAAACGGTAACTTTCCGGTGTCCTTTATTTTATACCATATGGGTGTTCTTCAAAGAAATATCTAAACTTATGTAAAATTTAGTAAAAATATTATGATTTTCCAAATGTGAAATAAAAAAGATGTGAGTAAATTTATTTTTATTCTATTTTCCGAAGAAATCTTCGGAACTCATTATTAATAGAATAGAGTATGACCGTAAGGGCATATTTGCTCCAAATGAACGATATTTTAGACATTTTTATAGGGTATAAGATTTGTATATTCTGTTTCTTTCTATACTTAGCGCGCATGTATAATGCCCTTATATAAGCGCTTGACATTAAAAGGAAACAAAAACAATTGAAATATGATTTCTTTTTATTCTGAAAAAGTTATTTAATAAAAATAATGTGCTGAGCATGTATACATGTAAACAGTGATCGCCAGTCTTGACGTCACAGAAACGTCGTACGACAGCCCAAACCCTGTCGTAGAGCTGCGACATTTTCTACGACGTCGTAGGCTAAGACAAACGTTCATAAAACGGTTTTTACGTTCTGCGACATGTCTGCGACAAAAACAAGCCTACGACATGTCGTAGAGCGTTGATAAAACGGCCCCCAGGTTACCTGGAACTGTAATAAATTGATATAACAGATTAACATTTATTAGATAATTGAGCTGACCAGCTCAGGTATTGTGCTTATCAGAATGATTTATGGTAACCTGAAAATGCAATCAACATCTACAACAAATAAGTAGCACTTGTATTCATTACTGATAAAATGAAGACTCTGTTTTTAATCCAAAGTAAAATTACTCTCCATAATTTATAAACTAAAAAACTGTCACATTATTTTATTCAACTCGTTCAATAAATTTAGTATTAAACCTACACTCATTCAATATCCTCTATATATTGCTGGTGATCACTTGAAAGGCCAAATTTCCTGTCCTTTTGCAACTTTTTTGAAAAAGTTCATGTCATATTCAAGTGGAAATGACTGAGTACAAAGGAAAGTGCAATATTTTGCCATATGATTTAATTCAGGGAGATTTATCATTGACATCCAACAATTACAACACGGTTTATCAAAAGTACTTAAAACCAGTATTTTTTCTCAAGTGGTTCAGTTGAGACCGAAAAACCAAATTGCTTTATATCCTCAAAATAATACTTTGAAAGTTGGATAAATTTTCAGAGTACACTACTGACTGAAGCAGAAGCTGGAAGTAGGTAACCAAGACCTCTATTAACAATGACTAAGCATTGATAATTTCATCTACTTATAAGACATATGAAAAACATGCTCATGCTTGGGGATTAGAGTTATTATCAATCTGAAATTCAAGTTATCATTAACCCATGTGCATATAGATTGGATAGTGTTCAAACAACTCGAAAAAGAAAAATCTTATATGCATACTAGTAATAAGTGTTCCATCAGGGATAAACTTTCAGTGATTGTGAATACATGACTTATCAATGTCACAATTTCATCCAGAGAGTTTCAGAAATTCTCACAAAACAATAAGTCAAGTATGATCAGTTAAAAACTAGAACTATCACTAAATGTGATTAATACCCACACAAGACTGCTTTGGACATTAGGATGTAACAGAATACCTTGTAAAAGAATTGAGCTATGTTTGTGGGCAGTTAAAGATAGTAAGTTGTGGTCTTTGTATGTTGCATTTCCTTTCAATGTGGTTGACCATTGATGAAGTTTTATTGAATTACTCTGTAATAAGTCAAGAAAGACAAGGAAAAGGATCAAAGGGCAATAACTCTATAAATACTGCTGTAATAAGTCCAGAAAGACAAGTAAATGGATCAAAGGGCAATAACTCTATAAAAACTGCAAATGTAGTAATGGTTATTGTACACTGCACTTTCTCTTATTTTGCTTGACCATTGTATGAAGTTGTTTTGAATTCCAACTACTAGTTTTCAAGTTAGGCACTGGACAAAAGTTTCAAAGGGCACTAACTGTAGGGTCATTCCTGCAAAGTTTGGTTACTGTGCAGTCTTTGGTTTCTGAGGAGATTTGTTTAAAGACATTTTTGACGACCCATGACAACTGATGGTGGGGGATCACAATAGTTCACCATGAGCACGTTGTGCTCAAGTGAGCTAAAAAGTAATGATCAAAGTACAAGTTTGTGGATGACCTCGGCAATGCCAACATGACTGTAACAATACCTCTATTTTTTAAAAGAAAAAGTCGAGCTAAAAAGGGGCATAACTGCATCAAAAATAATTTATTGTGGCCAAAATTGAACTAAATCTGTCTTTTGATACTAACATGGCAATTATCAACACACTTCATTTCCTTCATAAGTTGTCCTGCAGAAATCAATTGAACACCATAACTTAAAACATGCTTTTCAGTAAGAAATGACATTACTTTTAGATTATTTGACAATAAAGTATAATTTCAAAAGAAGCCAGACTTTATTTGAATGAGGATGAAAAGCCTATAAACAAACAGAACTTTTGTGGGAAATACATTTATTTCTCAGAAAAATGTGATAAATAAAGAGTAGAAAATTAATATTTGCAAATCATGAAGGAAATTCAGGAAATATGACAGAATCACTTTCAAATATGAACATTGAAAATTAATGATTCTACACAGATAAAACAATCTGCTCTCTTTGGCTTGTATGATGGGCTATAGATCTCGGACATAATAAGGCGTCATATCTGAACTACTTTCAGTCACAGTAAAATAGCAGCCTCAATTTACCAACTTTGTGGCAAAGTTATACATTGTATATGTTTTTCAATGCCATTCATGAAAATATTAAATCTGCTGTTCACTCTATGAAATATATTTGGATCTTGCATGCAAAAGAAACAAATACTCATTATATGATATGTTCCAAATTTCTTCATGCTTACAAAAATTATATATTTATGTAAATTAGTAAATTAACAAGCAAAACTGTAATTTCATTGTTCTGACGAACAATCTGGAGTGTTTTTGTTAAACAGCCATACTCCAAGACCGACAAGTTTTCTGTGGCATTATATTATCCAAAATTAACAATATTGGGAAATAATGGAAAACAAAAATATTAACAAATACATGTATAAAATAAAACCAATGTATATTAATTTAATGTCCATTTATAGTTGAAACTGCGGAATTTAGCTGTCAACGTCTGAAGGGATTCCAGTTCAATTAATCTTGTGTTCTCCCATAACTGAAGCTACAAATATCTGAAAATAAAATATATTTGTCATGTTGCAAGTAATTGTTTATCTGGCACTGAATATATTCAACATCATAAAAACAATGTGCTCCATACTTTACAATTTACCAGTAAAATCGAAGACATATTTCTTCTATAATTTTTTAGCATATCTTTGCATGCACTATCATAGTAAGCTTACACCACTTTGTAAAATGCTAGTTTCTGGTCACAAGAAAATCAAAAGCAATGGATGGTGTGATATTCAGTCTTAATTAACTTTACAAATGCTGCTGAAAAACAAACAAGAATATTGTCAATTACTTTCAATTAAATGATAGGACAAATATTGGTTTCAATTAATGCTTCTATACAAGAAAAGAACATCACTTCTAACTGCAAGCAGAACCATAGTGTATTCTGGTGTCAGTAAAATAATTATTATCGCTTATTTTTTGTATCTCATGCTTTTTTTAGATGGATAAAAGTAAAAATTTAAAGTGGAATACTATACCTCAATTGGTATTCTGTATGCTGAAGTTTCCTTTTGCATACAGAAATAACTTCTTCACATAGTAAGCTTCACTTCAATTAAGTTGTTCCAGAAATAATATATTGTCCTACTGGGTACTTCAGACAGCTTCATTTGAACAGAGTGGGCAACTTCTTACTGCAAAGTGGGAGCAAGGTGTAGTAAAACAATTAAACAGCATAATTTGTTCAAATACAAGAAACTAGAAGCAGGGCATAATCTGTTATTGTTTTTCAGAAAAATAATTGAAAATTTAACTTTTGAATGGATCATTTCACTATGAGCATACATTTCATTTTTTTAATTTTCTAGTGTAACATGTTTACAATTATATATATATTTTGTATGATTACTAGTCCTACAATGAATTAATGTAATTCTGAAAAGGAGAAATTTAATTTTAGATCATTTGTCATGATTTTGAATTAGTAAAGGTCAAACATTAGAAAGTAAAATCCTGATGTACAACAACATCGGTGCAAGTTGAAAATTTGGAAAAACCCTAAAACTGTAATTCATTTATTAATCATTTTTCCACATAATCTAATAGTAAAACATGATGATATTTGTCACAAAATCCTGGGCTTCAGACATATGCACCATGCAACAAGTGATTACAGTAAACATGTTTAAAAAGTTTGATGACTGTAATTAATTACTAAGGGATCAGTAATTACCACAAGATGACATACCTTAGAACCTTATGATAAGGAAAGACCTTTACTGTGCATGCAATCAACAACAGACCTAAATTTATTATTGAAAAAATGACAAACCTGTATCAATTTTTTTTCTTCTCTGCAGCAGAAACCTCTTTCTTACAGATAATTGTAAAGAATCTATAAATAGGATCACCATTATCATCATCATGAAGACTTCATTGCTGAAACTTCATTACTTTTTGCTGTTATAACAAACTGCTGGTTTGAGCTGTCTTATCCTGTATACATGTATATTTTTATTTTTCAGACTTTCCTTTTACATGTCTTGTTGCAGTTCTCAAATAGTTACATGTACTCTTTGACCATGTACATGTAGATAAATTATCTGGCAATTGGTATAATTACATTAATTCAGTATTTTGTATGGAAGTCAAATAATAATTTGCTCACATTTAGCTACCTTTACAACACATGACTGTTTGTTCAGTGTTACTCTTTTCAGTTGTTAAACATTTAAAATGCTCAAAATACATCATTAAAACATTATTGAACACATATTTGACCTTTCTAAAGAATTACAAAATTATATATCTCTGACATATTATATGTGCTTTTCAGATTTTCAATATTTTTTACCAGAGATCCTTTTACCTATACACTTATTCAATAGATTAATTACTAAGAACAGAAAATAATGTAAAATGTACTACACATTTAGTTACACACAACTTGACAGCAAATTATACAGTTTTCAATATAATAAAATACAAAAAGGAAAACTGTTCCTCTCTGTAACCAAAGAGAAATCATAAATATTGTAAACTTCAGACTCATACTCTTATTACTACCTTTAGCATTAATGGCCTCTGGTGGCTGAATTCTAAGGTTGTTATAATATATGTACTTTTCCAGTCAAAATGAGGTAAATATTTTTCAAGGAATTCTTCTTATAAATATATATGCGAACACAAAACAAATAAATATTAACAATATGACAATAAGTTAAATTCAGTATTTGACCTTGATGATAAGTCATCTAAAGGTCAATGTCATAAATGAATTACTTAAAGGGACTCCACTGAGAGGCTTTTGACATGACCAGATTGGAAATAATTTTTCAAGATTGATAATATGATATTCTATTTGATGTAGATCTTGGCAAAAAACATATATGCAAAAATTTCAGATCATGCACAAGCTCTGTTTTCCCAGAATGATTACTTGAATAGTGTAAAATGTCCCAAAAATGAACAGTGTTGCCGAGCTTTTGATTCATATATGTATCGGGAAGAATAGAATAGGAATAGCACAAATATACAATTTTCAATGTTTTTCTGAATATATTTCTTAATAGTATGTGCATATCATTCTGGACACAAGGAAAAAACAACAGCATTTATTGCAAAAAAAGCTAGTATACTGCTTTTGTACAGGAAATACTTCCATGACAGTAGTGTTGTTCTTAAATTTGACTACTAAGTCAAATATGTGTTTCAAAATTTTCCAGAGCTCAATAAAATAAATGTGGGGTTTTCTTATAAACAAACATTTAAAGAGAACTTACACTGAACAACTACTATCATAGTATGTCTTGACCATGTCACATTAAAAATCTCACACAACAGTTTGTTATATCACACACCTGAAATAAATGCATTTCTTATTGAACATTTATATGATTTTCATATCAACAATAAAGCATTCCCAACTTATAGTTATCTAAATTATTTGGGTTAATAGTCAAATCAGCTACATCATGTACATGTATATATACCAACTCAAAACAGGTCAATGCATCAAACTATTGGAACACGTCAGAAGCAAGTAAAATGTTGACCTTAAGACAATATCATTCATGTTTATAATATACAATGATTATTTGTGAAATTAATCAGTCAAATCCCATGTTATCAATTGAATTATATATTTTTCTTATATCAACAATTTTTTCATATTATTAGAAAATCCCCTAATCATCATGTAAATAAAGTGTTATAAGATACACAGTCTAAGTACTATCGTCCGTTTTTGTATGCACTAGCATATAGCAGAAAGGAGAACCACGCACTTGTTTCTGGGAAAATAAAAAAATCTAGTTGTAGAATCTTTCTTTAAATACAGGCAAATATGACTGAGTGACAATGCTTGAGCAAAATGAATAAAATCCAGTTGTTTGCAAACATGTGTGTTTGTCCTTAGTGGTCTCTTTATTCGCTCATTTAAAGCTTTATACTAGGTAATTATGTACATAAAGAGAAACAGAAATTCTAAAATAGCAATTTTGAAAATGCTGTGCAGACTCAGTTTGATTGAGCCAGTTCATGGATAGTACTGGTAGTGGAAAGTGCATGCTACTGTTCACACCCAATAGCACCAGGTTAAGCAGTATTCAACATTTAAACATGTAATGGTAAAATTTTGAAATTAGAAACATTAGCAGGTGTATTTTTTATGGCAGTGATCATGGAACCTCCGATGAGACATGTTAGTGCCATTCCATGAAAAGTGGCGTATGATTCCCAAAGAAGACAATGTGTGTTCCCTTAATGAAAAAAAGAATGGGGGAATTGAACAAAAAAGGATACTGTTCATCAATATTATGTGTATTTTTTTCTGTTTTTTTTTCAAAAACTTGATTGTTTCAATAATTAGACTATAAAAACTGAATTAGGCAAAATATTTGAACTCAGTTAGTGTCAGTGTGAGAACCTAAGCCTTAAAGAATAGTCAGTCCTGCGACAAATACCATGGTCAATAGCATTCATAGAATTATTAGTCTAACTAATTTAATTTGTCAAAGAGACACTGAGATAATTTTGGACGGGTGACAGTATGAAAAATAAAAGTTTGTAAAATGGGTCAAACCATTCAAACTGAATATGTTTTTCGAACCAACAGCAGGGGCCAGTGGTTTAGAATCAACAACCATAACCACTTCAACACAGATGTCCTGCCCTACAACTCCATAGTACTCCCCTGCACCCCTTAAATCCAGATTATATACACCTTTCACTTTTCCTGTTTGCATTGTCTAAATTTCCTTTATTTTATCAGATTAATAGAACAATAGAAAATACAATGTAGGACAATCTGCTTGTAGAAACGAATATCTATGAGTAAATAAAAACAATATTATCATACTTATCTATAACATCAATCTATTATCTAGTTTATTTATTATAACTCTGAAAGTTATATTAAATATTGATATATACAAATGAGAATCCAGATTAATTTAATAATTTATTATTATACAGTTAGTTCTGTTAAACCTTTATCTGTTATCTATTAAATATAAAGGATATACCAAACAAATGCCAAAAATACGCAAACCATAAATATTTTTCAGTCCAAATGAATTTTAAAAATGTTAATTTTAGGTGGGGCGAATCGTCACTAAATTGGGACGAATCGTCACTGTGGCGAATCGTTACCCTGTTACCGACAAATTTTGTAAACAAATCTTCAAAAAAATATCACACGGATGGCTCAGTCTCATAAAGTCTTTCTTATTTAATCATAAATGAATTTTAAAAATGTTAATTTTAGGTGGGGCGAATCGTCACTAAATTCGGACGAATCGTCACTGTGGCGAATCGTTGGGACGGTATACTTTGCAGACGACTTTGCAGACAAGTTAAACATAGAGGGATTTTGCAGACAAGTTAAATAAAGAAGGATTTTAGATTTTGCAGACAATATAGATTACATAGGAGGTGTTTAATCCCTTGTCAAAAGGTGTGAATAGGCAATTATTTTGATTTAATGCCATCTAGAATGATCTATAATTATTTGCAAAACACTAATTATTATTTGAAAAATAGTTTTAATGATGGTTTTTTTTTAGAATAATTTATGCTTTTATATAAAAAATATAATTAAAAAACACTAAGTAATTGCATGAAACAGAATATAATGATTAAAACAAACAAACAATATTAATTAACTTTTTTTTAATTTAATACATAAAGTATAGACAGAATAGAGGTTGAGTTTTGCAGGCAAGTTAAACTAAGAAGGATTTTGCAGACAAGTTAGATATAGAACAAAATATAAAATCATAGGTGAAAATAAGGAAAATTTATATTTTGCAGGCAAAATTTATGTTGAATTTTGCAGACAAATTAAATTCAGAACAGTTGACTACATGATATAGAACAGAATATAAAATGATAAGGGAATATAAGCAAAATCTGTATTTTGCAGACAAAATTAATGTTGAACTTTGCAGACAAGTTAGATATAGAACAAAACATAAAATAATAGTTGACTATTAGAAAAGTTAGATATAGAACAAAATATAAAATGACATACGGAAAATCTGTATTTCGCACACAGAATTAATGTTGAATTTTGCAGACAAGTTAAAATAAGAAGGATTTTGCAGACAAGTTAAAATAAAAAGGATTTTGCAGACAAGTTAGATATAGAACAGAATATAAAATGAAAGGGGAATATTAGAAAAATCTGTATTTCACAGACAGAATAAATGTTGAATTTTGCAGACAAGTTAAAATAAGAAGGATTTTGCAGACAAGTTAGATAAAGAACAAAATATAAAATGAAAGGGGAAAATTATAAAAATCTGTATTTTGCAGACAAATTAATGTTGAATTTTGCAGACAAGTTAAAATAAGAAGGATTTTGCAGACAAGTTAGATAAAGAACATAATATAAAACTAAAGGGGAATATTAGAAAAATCTGTATTTTGCAGACAGAATTAATGTTGAATTTTGCAGACAAGTTAAAATAAGAAGGATTTTGCAGACAAGTTAGATATATAACAGAATATAAAATGATAGGGGAACATATGGAAAAACTATTTTTCAAATTATAATTAGAGTTTTGCAAATAATTATAGATCTTTCTAGATGGCATTAAATCAATATAATTGACTATTCACACCTTTTGACAAGGGATTAAACACCCCCTATATAATCTATATTGTCTGCAAAATCTAAAATCCTTCTTTATTTAACTTGTCTGCAAAATCCCTCTATGTTTAACTTGTCTGCAAAGTCGTCTGCAAAGTATACCGTCCCCGAATCGTTACCCTATTACCGACAAATTTTACAAACAAATCTTCAAAAATTAATCACACGGGCGGCTCAGTTTCATTTACTCTTTCTTATTTAATCGAGGTAGATTCTAACTGTCAAAATTACTAAAAAACTTACAATTTCTTCAAAATATCCTGGATGACGAAATGTATATTAGTCTGGTTCCCAGCTTCTATTGTAAACAAATAGAATATGATAAACAAGATCGACA